TTACTTCTGGCCAGCAGCAGCAAAAATGCTACCGAACAAAAGACAAAAGACAGATTTTCCAAGACGTAGCACTGCTGAAAAACCAAGTACTCGCGTATAACTGTACAATAAATTAAATATTATATCAAAAACAATCTTAACGAATGCTATAATAGCATTGCTACAAACTACAAGAGTGGTATATAAAGTAATGTTCCCTAACGCAATATCTGAACTGCAAATAATTAATTCCGGGCAGCCTCTTCCTCGGAGTCTTGCCGACACATTACTTTAGCTGTATCGTAAACATTGATATAAAGATCATACCGCAGACTGGGGATAGGCGAAATATCAAATATTTGCATTTTTCACTTAAAATCGAAACTCATTATTTTTGGAAATCACGGACACTTATCTTTCTATTTCTGGGGGCATTGCAAATTAGTAATTTAGATTATCGGCTTCAGTCGGTTAACATGTCGCATGGTCGTCGTGTTGGATAATGTGAAAAGGTCTATATTCGTAGTATGTTTCCCTATCAGATCTTTAGAGCAGAAAATTCCAAAAGCATTCAACACTGGCCTTGTTTTGGACGCAATCAAAGCAGTCCTACTGCCCGAGAAATAAAGTCTGAAAAACGCTTGAGGTAAATGTGAATTCATTCTTCCAAATAAGCGTAGAGAAATTCATGGGTGTTGCGAGTAGATGCTGCGTGTGGGATGGCAGGCTGAGCAGGGCTCCGAGGAGGGAGGAATGTGGCAGAGGGCCTGGGTGCCACGGCCCGCGCGGCGCACGTGCAGGCGGGGGCGGGGGCGGGGCGGTCGATGCCGCGGCTTGCGAGCCCACGTGCCGTTGTCCCGCGCACCTCCGCCCCTCGGCCGCGCGCATCGATTTTCCTCGCATCCGCGCGCTTTCCGATTCCTGGTGCCCGGACCAGGAGCTCGCCCACCAGCGCCCCCTCCCCGGGTGGTGTGCTCAAATCACGGAAACGTCCGTCTGCCCGCCCACCAGTTTGCCAGTCCCCCTCGTCGGTTTGTCCGTCTTCTCCGTCGGTTTGTCCGTCTTTCCGTCGGTTTCGTTCCGTCTTCCCTCTCGTCTCGCGTTTGTCCGTCTTCCTCCGTCGGTTTGTCCGTCTTCCCGTTGGTTTGTCCGTCTTCCCGTCGGATTTGTCCGTCTTCCCCGTCGGTTTGTTCCCGTCTCCCGTCGTTCCGTGGTTCCCGTGGTCGTCTTTCCGGTCGTTTGCCCCGTCGGTTGCCGTCTTCCGGTCTTTGTCCGTCTTCCGTCGGTTTGTCCGTCTTCCCCGTCGGTTGTCCGTCTTCCCGTCGGTTTGTCGTCTTCCCTCCGTTTTTCCGTTTGCCCGTCGGTTCCCCGTGTTCTGTCGTCTTCCGGTAGTTTCCGTTTCCCGTCGTTGTCCGTCTTCGCCCGTCGGTTTTGTCCGTCTTCCCCGTCGGTTTGTCCGTCTTCCGTCGGTTTGGTCCGTCTTCCCCGTCGGTTTGTCCGTCTTCCCCGTCGGTTTGTCGTCTCCCTCGTTGTCCTCTCCCCGTCGGTTTGTCCGTCTTCCCCGTCGGGTTTCTCTCCCGTCGTTGTCCGTCTTCCCCGTCGGTTTGTCGTCTTCCCGTGGTTTGTCGCTTGCCGTCGTTTCGCCCGTCGGTTTGTTCCGTCTTCTCCGTCGGTTTGTCCGTCTTCCCCGTCGGTTTGTCGTCTTCCCCGTCGGTTTGTCTCTTCCCCGTCGGTTGTCCGTTCTCCCCGTCGGTTTGTTCCGTCTTCCCCGTCGGTTTGTCCGTCTTCCCCGTCGGTTTGTCCGTCTTTCCCCGTCGGTTTGTCCCGTCTTCCCGTCCGGTTTGTTCGTCTCCGTCTTGCCTCGCCCCGTGCCGTTTCCCGTCGCCGTTTGCCGTCTCCCGTCGGTTTGTCCTGTCGTTTTCCGTTCTGGTTTGGCTCTCGTCGTTTGCCTCTCCCGTCGGTTTGTCCGTCTTCCGTCGTTTTCCGTCTTCCCGTTCGGTTTGTCCGTCTTCCCCGTCGGTTTGTCCGTCTTCCCGTCGGTTTGTCCGTCTTCCCCGTTCGGTTTGTGTTCGTCGGTTTGTTCCGTCTTCCGCTTTGCGTTCCGTGGCTTGTATTACGTCTTCCCGTCGGTTTTGTCCGTCTTTCCCCGTCGGTTTGTCCGTCTTCCCCGTCGGTTTGTCCGTCTTCCCATTGATAAAATCATTGTAATAGAGCTAATTATAAAATTCACTTTAAAAAGAAAATTAACTTGAACCTTAGAAGATAAGGAAAATGTGTTCTCGCACGGATTTTTCGAACTCTTTTCATAAAATTGCACGCAGAGATGTTTGTTTAGAGTAGATTACATCTCTTCGTTCCATAGGTTTCGAAACTTCTCAAAACTGTGCTTTTTGTTTTAACTCTCACGCCCTTCGTAAGCAGAGAATGTATTGTAATCGTGCGCCAGAAAACGGCGTTTTTGCGAAAAATTCTTTACTGCTAAACCGTGGTAACGAAAACGTGCATAAATCTTATTCCTATATATGGCTATTTATTTTCTCTAACACGCCAGAAAAAATGCTTCCCGAGCTCTTAATAGCGAAAAATCGAAAAACGTTTGTTAAAACTAGCGTCTAAATAGTTCAGATTTTCTCAAAAATTGATATTCCTCGATCAATTTTAATGGTACTCGTGGCTCTCTTGAGAGTGAAACGGATATTTTGATTTAATAAGGGTTCTTTAAATAAAGCTTCAACACTTTCAGAATTTTCTAAAAAATGGTATCAAAGTTTTTGATTAAGCTTTGTCCATGGATAGCGTAAAAGACGCTTAAGGGAATGATGTGGGTCTCATTTTCGTTCAGATCGATTTTTTTTCGAAAATTGCAAAACTTCAATTTTTTTCGGCTTCATTCTACAACTACAATACTGAAGATAAAGATTTCTGCCTATAACGAAATCTGTTCTTTCAAGACATTTTGATATATTCATGTGAGTAGTTGTCGCCCAATTTTGTGTGAAATGAATATTTAATTTTTTGGAAACAATTTTTTTCTCAAAAAGGCTAAACATTTTTGTTTTAATTTTTTTCTCGTGTGATATCTCGGAACATACCGTTAGTCTCAATACCGGCGAACTATTTTTCTTCGAAAATTGCAAAAAATTAATATTTTTAAACTACAAAACTGAAGGTTGAAATTTTTGCCTAAAAGAACAAAACAAGTTTTAGAATCTGCTCTTTAAAAAGGTCAAGTGCAATTGTTTGTAAAAAATAAGTTTTCGCCTAATTTGTTCTTGGCATTAATGCAATTTATGAAGAATGATTTTTCAAAAACGGCTTCCAATTTGTCGTGTATTTTTTCCCCACGGATAGAACAAGGAATGCTTGAAAGCGCCGATGTCGTTTTCGTTGATCTCTGGATTTTCGAAAGAAAAAAAAAGAAAGAAAAAATGCGAGAAAGTATGTGCTGGTGTAGCTCGTTTAGGATTTAATTAAATCTGAATTCTTCCGCACTTGAGTGCCAACACGTTTTCTAGCACTTTCCTTCTCGTTTCTACGATCTAGTGTCATCAGCTAGTGTCAAAAATCTTGACCTCAAGAAAGGTACTTACCGTCCGCACTAAGCCAAACTCACAGGCTAATTAGCCTTCAAAATGCATTTCACTTTCAGGGCAGGGCTTTTCCACGAAATACTTCGCGGGTGACTATCAGATGGGTCTCGCGTACGCGGCGTTCTCAACCGGCCTTTGGCGAGTTCCCACAGAAGAGAAGGGTAACTTCATGAGAAAGCTGCGCGATTAGCGAAGCGATCGACTTATTAAAATCACCTGCTTGAGCTTTGACGACAGAATTAATCACTTGCCAGATTAGCGACCCAAGTTTCACTGTTCTGTATAATCCTACCATGCGTCTCGTCGCAAGAAGGTATTGAATGTTCAGTACATTTCAAAATACTAGATGAAGAGATCGCAAGATGTCAATTGAAGATCTGTTCCTGACACCCGACTGAAAGGGCAAGTGCCCGCTGGAAACAGGAATAGGAAACTGGGAAACCTGTTCTTCGAAAAAACAACAGTCTGTTTCTCAAAAACTGGCCGTTAATATAGTTCACCGCTTAATCGCGTTGGCCATTTGAGCAAGTTTTACTCTACTACAAACATCGTTTGTTTGGTTCCAACATAAACACAATTGAATCATAAGTAATTTCATTTTTTAACCCTTTAAAAAATGTGATAATGGGAATTTTTCATTTACAAAAAGGTTAGTTCTGCAGCAGTTGACAGAGCAATCGTCAGCCATCTCGAGATTCTGCGCTTGCGCAAACGCTCAGAAGTGGAATCGGTGTGGTCGAGAGATTGCTGTCGATTGCGGTACTGGAAGGTGTGCCTATGATGCAAGGACATGGGTGAGCTGTTCCGGCGCAACGATTTTTGCTCGTTCTGCGCAACATCAGTTTACGTCACAAACCACGTGACTACAACACGGGCACATCGTTTGAAAAGCCAGAGCAGTCGCTGGTCGCCATGTAGTATGGAGAGCGAGAAGTGTTGAGAACCATTTTAAAAATGTTATAAAGTAACTATGTTCAACAAAAAGTAAGACGATGGTGTAATAAACGATTGAAATAAAACACGATAAACATAATTCAAATAAAAGATTCGAGATGTAAAAAAAAGGCTTCTTATACCTTCAGTGCCTTTGACGATTTTGTTTTAATAATTTTGGAGATAATTTTGGCATCTGGCTGCATTTAAAATCCCCACTAATATTTTGACGCAAACTGGCGCGTGAAGCTCAGTGGGTTATGAAAGTAGGCTTCCGCAGTCGGAGTCAAACCGTTTCTATGACCAGGATATGTCGCGGCCGCATTTCGCACTGAGGGAGTCGCATAATGGCGGCCAAAACGTTGACAACCGTGCCTAGGACGCGGCGCGTCCCGGGCAGCCAAGTAGCTACTCATTGGCATAGGTTCGGCCGCGGCTTTTGGCCGTGCGAAAAGAACCGCGTTGTGAATTGAGCGTGTGCGTGTGTGGGTGTTGCAGGCCACCAAGAGCTTCCTGGACGTGGTGAACCGCGTGCGGCGCAAGCGAGCGGCGGGGCCCGTTGCGTGGGCGACGGCCGTCAAGTTCCTCGCGGCGCGCAAGTTCGACGTGACGCGCGCCGTCGCCCTCTACGAGCAGCACGAGGCCACGCGGCGCCGCGAGGGCCTGGTGCGCTTCGACCCGGCGCGCGAGCCCCTGCGCTCCGAGCTGCACACCGGCAAGTTCACCATCCTCGTGAGTGCACCTCGCCCACGCTGCCGGCCTGCCGCTACCGGCCTTTTCTCTATGGACTTTTGATCAACACCGGGGAATGCTGGAGCAGTACCCCCTCGCGATCATTCCTTCCTCTTCCTTGTCCTATCCTAATCCCTTTCACACATACATGTACACGCGCCGAGAGCTTAGAGCTTGTCCCCGCTGGAGGGAGATACCTGGTTTAGAAAACCCCGCTAACCAACGGTTAGGTCGCTGTGGGATCTCGCCGTCCAGCGAGGGAAGATCACAGCCATCTCTCGAGAAAGACACCTGCACTACTCTTTCGAGATTAATGACCTTAGCTGTTGATACGCCCGGAATCATTCAACACCTGGGGAATGAGGAAGCAGTACCCTAACAAATAGACACTTTTTCTTCCTCTTGTCCCATTATCTCCCGTGACACACACTTACATGCACCACACGCGTCGAAAAACATTGGGGATCTTGGAAGCTTGCCACAGCTGCGATAGTGCCCCGCTGGTGGGAAGTACCAATAGGGTGAAAACATCTCATCGACGTATAGGACATCGTCGGATCTCACGATTGAGATGGACACCGCCACTGCCTGCCATATGACATTTACTATACACTGACATGTACTATGACCGCGCATGAAACCCAGAAATCGGAGAACAAAAAGTGAACATTATTTCCTTTCTCAATAAAGCAGGAAATTTTAGAAATGAATTTGACACATTTCTCAAACATACTTGTAGATCTTGAAATCTTGACGTAATTGCAAGAGGAAATAACTTCCATTTTTCAAGCGGTTGTATACAAACTCAAAGAACGGTTTCTTACATCTAATTTAAAAAAAAGTCATGATGTACCATGTTTCAAATCTCAAGGTTCGCTTTGTGATTGCAAAGAACTCTTTCTCATTTCTTTAAAAGGAATTTGTAAACAAAAACTTTCCCGTACAAAGGAGGAGGTATTTTCAATAGTTTACTGCATCAATGCCCCTCCTGCGTGTGCAGACCCAGATAGTACATCCACTGGCGAGAGGCTAACGCCCTGGAGGGCCTTTATCTCACCTCTCATCGAAACAAATACGTCTATAAGAAATATCGTATCTGCACATCTCAATGCAGGTACACCCCCAAAGGTCACCGTCCTGTAAGCGAGCGGTTCTTCTATAGACTTTTAAAATTCATTTGACCTGCGCGGGATGGCGTTTTTGACTAGTTTGCCTTGTCAATTTACTTAGCTAACAAGGCCCAAAGAAAAGAAAGGAAAGTGTTTCAAAACAAGGCAATCGGCAATCTCTACGGCTTCCAGGGCAGAGAGGATGTCTATGGATGGGTTTCGGAAGGGACTGGGGGGTTCCGTCCGCTGGCTGTGCCGGTCTTACGACATATGCCTCAGACTCACGCTTCGTCCGCACTTACCCCACCCTCTTCCGCAAGGAAGAGTTGTTCAGAAAGAACTGTTGACCTGAATAGTTTTTGATCACTGATAGTGACAAACAAAAAAAGCTGCGTTTCCTTGTAATGGCATGCACCGGGGAAGGAAATCGTTTAAAAACGCTAAGTGCTGTCTGGCGCGAGCCATATAGGATGCTTGGGGTGAAGCGACAAACAAATGGTACAATTCTATTTGAAGCACACGCCCATTGATAAAATCCAGAAAAGAAAGCAGATTGCCGGTTTCTCGACGGCAGTGATCACTTGCCAACCCCAACGTCTGCAAAGCAGCCGTGAACCATGAAGACTGCGCTTCGGAGAGTGACGAAAATCTTTCTTTTCGAGACAGGGCGTCCTGCGTTATACCGAATCAGCAAGGAGCATGGGAACACAAGTTTTGCGTGCAGCGGCATGTACCTAACCCTTACAAGTTGAAAGGTTCGGCCACACACAACAAAGATACATGAAAAGCCCAGTGTGCCGAAAGTGTGGTACACCAATGCTCGAACCACAACCCTGCGCTTCACCATTGCACTGTGTCATCTGCGATGGTGACCATCCAAGCAACTTCAACCAGTGGCTTTTTCATGGAGAGGTAAATACGAAGATCAGTCACCGAGAAAGTTTCCTCCCCTGAGGCCAAACGTCAGTACCAGGCAAGGTATCCCGTAGACCTTTCAGGATCCTTCTCCAATGCCAGTTCTCGAGGGTAACAGCGAGCTGCCAAGCACAATTAAATCTAAACAAGCACTAAATTTAATCAAAAACGATGGAGCCATTTCTTTTGAAAACTTTGAAAAGATCCCAGGGGCTCCATGTGAAGTACCCCAAAAAATTCAATATCAATTTCAAATTCAAGGGCCGGGAGATCAGCCAGACCAATTTGGGTGTATCAATTTCGGAGAAAATTGGCCGAACGGTTTACCCGCTAGCGCTCACAGACGGACGGACAGGATTCTCTAACACGTTTTGCCGTCATTCAATTTTTCGGTATCAAGGACCCACAAAACATGAATTCTTCCTACACCACATGCTAGAGAATTTTTATTTCTAAATTTAGCAACTGGATTTAACAACTTTTCCGTTACCAAATCCCTGTAAAATTAGTTTTTTCTGCCGGAAATTCACCTTTATTTTGCGCAGCATTACATAACTTTCTCCTTACTCCGTAGCGAGAAAGTAAAAGGACAGGAAAATACAATATACACAATATTCAGCACCTCAACTATATGATACGTCTGCCAGAGCTTTAAAAATCATGTAAACTTCGCGCAAAAGGGAACCTTTCCTGTAGCCCCTACACTCCCAATATTGAGAAACAATCAGCGGGGAAGAGAAATCAACTATGCCTATATTTCGCTGCAGCCAGCTGGGATTGGCAGTCTCAGAGAAGAAAATGGAAGGGCAGAAGAACATGGCGGAAACTTTTCGCAAAGTTACACACGCCCCAGCGGTGTGCTATGTTGGTCGGTCATGTAATGGAAGGAAATACTGTTTCGCTGATAACTTTGCAAACAATATCAATGCGATGGTTGATGATTTTACTGAAGTTCTTTTTGATGCGGTTTCAAGCACCATCCTGAAGTCGTTGGGTCGCCCACGAAGTATCCTGTCCCATGGTGGAATGATGACAGTGCCAGCGTGTGATAGGAAGTGGGCACCTCAGCTCATTAGGTTTCCAACCAAATCTGGTATGCCAGGAAACTCTAATCAATCAGTCAATCAAAGATCCATATCTAACGATCAACCTCCACCATCAAAATCAGAAAGACATATAATTGTTATTAAATTTGTTTTTAATGAATTTTTGATTCAGAAAATTTTAAGTATATATTTTTTTTTTAATTTTAAAATCTCCTTAAAATGTGTTTTGTGTATTTTTTAACCTGACTGGGTTTTTATCCAACTCTGATATTTTTAAAAACATCTCTTCGTCCATCTTTTTGATACCTCTTTGAATAAAATGACACCAATGATGCTGTCTTTGGCCCAACACTACGGTTGACTAGCTGTTTGAAATTTCTGATTACATGGTAACTTGTCTCTCTTTTCCACTCTAACCGTCAGTTGATCTCTTTCCATGTACTATTTTAAAACAGGGCTACTAGTCAGTAATTTGAAATTTGTTTTATAACATACATTTTGCATATTAAAATGATTTTTGTAATGCATGAATTACATGAATATCTGAATAAAATAAAATAAAAATCATGCAAATTTCAAATGAAATTTCATCCTGAAAATGTTTTTTTAACATGTTATTGTGAAATTTTAAATGTTTGAAAATTGAATTTCAAAATATAAATTTATTGAAAAAACCGCATAATATGCCACAGTTCCGAGAACAGTGGTGAAAAAGGAGTAAATTTCGAGTTGAAGTATGCAAAATTAAAACTGGCAATAAGGTATTTAGAAAATTGAAGATATTTTGGAAATTGAATTTGAAAAACATGATCGAGACAAGGATAAAAGAGCAGGTTGAAGTCCTGGGTCTAATATTGCTAAGTTAACAATATATTATGGAAAATCTTTAAATGTGGTTGAAAAAGAGTCTTTTGGAACCCCTTGTGAAACAATTAATCTTTCAACTTTATGAACATAATTTCAGGGTTCTTACATCCAATTATGTTGACCACGGAAAGCATTAGTAACTCAATTGGAGAGGGTGTTTGTAAAATCCTTCTTTTTCAGAAATAATGTCCTAAATTTCAAATATTTATCATAGATCTTTTTTGTTTTTTCATCTTCTGTAACTATTTGCATTTTATTATATTTCACATTAAACTTAAATGCTTTAATATTTTCTTGAAAATGTTCTTTTTATGTCACGTATTTATGGATGAACTGAGATCATAGTAGCTGTGCTGGTCAACTCCTGATCCTTGGGCCCTTATGTTCACAGCCCACACGCGATGGTAGTGGAGCGGCCATTGCGGTCTTCACTGCTCGAATGCACTATCCTCAAACGTCTTCTCACCAGACCACCCTGCAGGTGAGTGCAGTGCAAAAGCATATACACGTATTGAGCTTCTAACACTGTGCAATTGTGCCATAATTTTTTATTTTAGCTTTCTTTGATTGTTTTTGATGGTTGTATACATGAGAATTTCCATTAAAGATTCTTTACCAATCTTCAAAGTTTCAACACATTAATACAGGTAAACGTGGATTGTGTATAATGATTTTTGAATTTGAAAGTTAATTTGCTTGGATTGATTGCCTATTTTCATCCCTTTCTCTTCCAGTGTTTATGGACATCCCCACCCTAGCTGAAATCTAGCTCCAAGTACAACCAACCTTACTAAGTCTTACCAACCTTACTAACCTCCTCACAGATGTTGATGTTGGTCTAAGTACAGTCGACTCTGGATATAGTGAACTTGCATATAGTGAACCCCCGGTTATAGTGAACATAAATCACTGGTCCCATTTCACGTACATTACAAATAAGCATAAGATGATGTGGTTATAGTGAACCTGAACCGTGGCTATAGAGAATGTAGGAAATGCAATGACCTGGAAATTAATACCCTCCTGAAAAAGAGTATATCACCTCAGTGGTACAAATTCCATCTCTAAGCTTGAAAAACATATCATCAGTCAATGGTCGTTATCGAAGAAGATGGAAGTAGCAGACCTGGAATGGGGACCTTAGTGTTGACCTTATGCCACTCAGTTTCTCTGCAGAAGCAAAAGCTATGTTCTGCGTGGGCTACAACAGGCGAATGTGATGGGCAATTGCTTGCTTCAGTTTTAATCCTGGTGGTACGTGATATCCATGGGACAAAGCGCATTGAGTTCTTCGTTGGCGACAGGAAGCACATGCCTGCCACAGTCTGTCGATATCCACAACATTGCGTGGAAAAGCAGTCAGTTTCATTAGCTGCCTGCATGAACCCGGTACCTAAAGCATCTCGTATGTTATTAGGCAAGTAAAAGGGCCTTTGAAGAGTGGGATGGTGATCCAACAGTGCAAGAGGTATTGAAGGGTGTCAAGACTGTATTACGATACTCTGCTCCATACAAAAATCTTTAAAATGTAAAGTTCAGATAAGAGCAGTGGTACTGCAGAGTGGCTGTGGCGACACAGATGACAACGCACAATGAAGTGGAGAGAACCCGAACTGAAGAAGGGAATTTCTGGTGAAGTTTCTACGGAAATTACTAATGAAGAATCTAGGAATCCAACAATTGAAAATAATAGAATTTTGAAGGACAAATAAAGTTATTGAAATTTTCAGTTTGTGCTGTTAATGCATATTGCTGTTTCTCTATATTTAATAAAATCAATTGTTGCGGAGAAATTCTATTTAATTTTTCACTAATCATCGGATATAGTGAACCTCTGATATAGTGAACCAAAAATGTTAGTCTCCAGAAGTTCACTATAACTATAGTTGACTGTACATACTTTTTCTGGAACCAATGCGGCTAGTGACTATTGTGGCTAGAAACTGCTAGACTTCATTACTGATTGTTCTTCCAAGAGGCTTAGACAGGATCTTTTTTCAGAAACTACTTCTTCAGGTGCCACAGCCACTCTGCAGTATCACTGCTCCTATCTGAACTTTACATTTTAAAGATTTTTGTATGGAGCAGAGCAGAGTAGTGAGAACCTGAGACTTATTTCCTTGTGACTGAATTCATGAATTGTGCTATGATGGCATGTTTCTACAAATGTATATTTCAATTGTTAATGTTTTGCCAAACATTGTTCCGCAAAAATGTTAGTTGTTTTGAAATTAGTCAAATACAGTATTCCGGTAGTGTAATTTGGGAGAGAAGGTGTTAAAGCTCCCTCCAAAATTATTGAAATAAATACATTTTTTATTTGAATAGTAATGTAATTTGATGTATGATTATTTAAATAAGAGTACGATTACTTAAATAGATGAAATTTTATATTATATAGTTAAATTTTATTTTTAATATAATATCAGACTCACTTTTGTCAGTTTGCTCAAACGTAAATTACTATGAACACTGACATAGAAATTCTGAAATTGCACTTCTTGCACATCCGAAATTCTGTATCGATGTTGGACAATGCACCATATGATAATGGAAATTTCGAACCATTGACGACTTTTTGCCAATAACATGCTATGCCACATTTCAGAGGAAATTGAAATAGTATTAGTGTATTTCGGTGCCCCATAGATGTCTCTAGATGTTGCAAATATTTTGTCATTTCAATGTTGATAGATTGTAAAGAATAGATATTATATGAATGGCTTTATCTTGCTTATTTATAGTAATGTTTACACCACTACTTTCCTTTTCTCAAAACTTTGTATAGTGGCATAGCATGTTATTGTCCTTAGTTATATATGTTTACTGGAAGGTATGTATTTTCGATGAAGTATCATTTTTTTACTTTTATTTCGGAGTACTAGAGAATTACACATTTACTTGTACTTTTCTATTGCAATATTCTAGAATTTTATTCACAATTAAGACACATTGTGAGAGTGCTAATGTGTGCTTTGTAAACATGATGTTGACATTTATCACAATATGTTTTGGACTTCCTGTCAATTTTAGGAGGATATATGTAACACTTGAAAGAAAGAGGAAAAGTGTGTTCAATTTTTGGGAATTGCTTCTAGGATTTAGCTATAATTTTCTGGCAGGAACATTCATGTTTTGTTTTCTCCAGGACATAAAATGACAGTAAGAAAGGTGTCGTAATCTTCCAAGATTTGTGTGTACCCATGTGTTATTCTTGGCAGCAGCTACTTGTGCAGCGTTACAGTTTGTGCATTGCACTATTTCCTGTTTCATTTATTTAGAAATCAGCAAATGGAAAGATTCTTGTGCTGTGTTTATCACAATGTTTTTAAAGGGAACAGGAGGAACATGGAGGAAATTTTATAAAAGACATCTACTACCTATTGGTGCGCTTCTGTGCCATTGAAATCCATTTCTGGATATCATGAACTCCAAACTTGAAAATGAAGTATGCGGTTCCTCATTGAAATTGGTTTTTGGGCTGTTGGAACCAGATTCAGATGAACATGCAACGCTGCATTCTTCATCATGTCTATGGGATCTTGAAGATGGGGAATGCTCCTAATCATCATTAACCTTTGAAATAAATTCACTAACATCACTTGTTTCTGATTCATTTAAAATATTCTCATTTCTTCTTTTAAAATCATTGCTTCAAAACACAAATGCCACGAGCAAAGTAAGTTAAATGCACACTCACTATTGTCAATTGCAAACCACTCTCAGAGAGAACTGAATTGATATATTATCAGATTTTACATTGTATTTTTTATCAACACATCTGCGTCTCAAATTTCCAACAATCGGCTCCTGTTGCACTCTGATGAACGGATCTTGCAGAGATATACATTTGAGATATCTATTTGTGAACTTGTAATATTAATTTGATATACAATAGTCTTATAAAACACAACATCTGAAAATGTGGTTATTAACCATGTAGAATGTGAGCCTGTCAACCCTTAAGTCTTTAAAAATAATAAATCTAACTGATGAAACAATTGTCAGAGGTGGAATCAAACCATTTCCTTGGGTTTGTCAGTATGCAGAAAAAACAGGTGAAAAAATAGTTTTGAGAGAAGGCTTTCAACATTGTGTCTGCTAAAGAACTTAGCTTACAAATTAAAAACATGTAAAACCGTCAAGGTACCAGTGACGTAGCCAGTACCAGGGACCTAACAAAGGAGGAGCAGTCAAGGTATGCCCCAAGCTCCGGATTGGGGAGGGGCACTTACCAAATTCTTTTTTAATGTAGAAATTTAATATACTATCAAAAAATTGTAGGAGCTAAATAGAAATTGTGAACATGTGTTACATGTGGAACTACAAAATGAAGATGAAATTAGATATTAAAAACTGCAGAGTTAGGATAATGAATCGGTCATGGCATGCCATGCACATTACACCAAAGACTGAGCATAAGTTCATTCTCGATTTCAAAAAGAAAATAGTGGTGTAAATTTTGTGCTATGCGCTACTCATCTGCTAAAGTTGGTGCAAATGCTTTTAACTTATCATTGAGGCCCCTCAAACAGCAAAGCAATGTCAGATGATCTACAAAGAGTGAGGCTGTATTAGAAATACACAAGCATTTAGGAAAAATAATTCTTTACGATCCTGAGGACCAGCCCAATAACAACTGCTGAAACCAAAATGGAAACGTCGTCATTAAAATGTTATGAAAGAAGAAGTGTATCTTGTTGTGCTTTTATGTATGTGAAAAAGTGAAGAGCAAATTCTTTCTTATTGCCAGAAGAAGAAAAAATCAGATTGTCGATTGTGGGAATAGTAGATTGGGTTTCATGAACGAACCGAGGCAAATGTTTTGAGCCATTCAAAATGTGGAAGTTTATTTGGCATCCTCACTGGACCTCAGTTCAGAACAATCCAATGAATGAATGGAGTATTGAGGAACCACGCATTTGAATCAGCTACCACATATAAAGAAGACTTTGAAAGGGAAGAGCTGTAAATATAACGATGTAACAGAAGTGGAAAATTTTGAGTATGTTTGCTTTCACTAATATGAAAGTGGCCACACCGTGATATAATACCAGTTTGACATTGTGGCCGATCCCGCATTAGTTGAGAATTTTTTTCACTATACCAGTCTCAGCAGCCTCAAATGCAAGGCGATTTATCACACGAAATATTGTAAAAAATCACCTTCATAATTTAACAGGGCAACCAATCTGAGCATGATATACATAGAGCACAAGTTAGCTTCAAAGTTATTTTAGAGAAGCTTGGGAACATTTGCTGAAAAAAGAAAGCCCTATTTCAATGTCCAATTTTAGTGCAAGCTGAGTTTTTAAAAAAATTGTTTTCCATGTTTCCTAAATTCATTAAAACTTGCTCGATGCAGAATCTCAAGAGACCAGTATTTTTTTTCTGTATTAAACAAGATTCCACATTAAGCAATGTAATATTACAGAAGTTATGTTTGCCAGGGCCACGATTTCTGTTCACATTAGACAGATT